AGTGGGACTAGGATCAGAGATTTGTGGGGCCACAGTGGGACTAGGATCAGAGATTTGTGGGGCCACAGTGGGACTAGGATCAGAGATTTGTGGGGCCACAGTGGGACTAGGATCAGAGATGTTTGGGGCCACAGTGGGACTAGGATCAGAGATGTGTAGGGCCATGGTGGGACCAGGATTTGAGATGTGTGGGGCCATGGTGGGACCAGGATTTGAGCTGTGTGGGGCCATAGCAGGACCAGTATCAGAGTTGTCTGTAGATACGTCTGTGGTTTTGGGCTGACACTCTGACATTATTTTCACTGCTTTCTCCACATAAGAGTCRTCGCTGTTGATAGGAAGATGCTTCATTGTGATAAAACTGTGTTTCAGGGCATCTTCTGGCTTGATTCGGTCTCCAGCATTTACAGCCAACATTTTCTTGAGAAGGTCAATGAATTCTTTCAGATCTTTTAGTTCATAAACACTGTCCATAATGGGTGCCTCTTCTATGAAATAATCAAGTGATGACAAACCATAATGTCTCGTACAGACTGTTTGTCCAGATTCCTGTTGTACTTCCCAATTTGTTTTTAATCTCCAGATACTTTCAGAGTTGGTGTGGTCCAGCTTAAAGTACTTTGTGGTGCGGCATCCGTTGTCCAGTACATGTTTGTCTGGCTGACCACAAATATTTACAATTGACTTCATAATTTCAAATTCTGTACAACCTGAAAAGATGTCATTGCCACAATAAAGCCTTCCCAAAACACACGCAAGCCCCCACATGTCCATGCACTCATTTTGTTGAAATCCTACGTAGACCTCTGGGGCCCTGTATTTTGCAGCCTGAAATAAATCCTCGTCAGATAAWTCAGATGTTGAATGACAAAGCCCAAAATCAATTAACTTGACTCTAAAGGGCGTGGACTCGTGGTTTACTAACATGATGTTGTCAGTTTTAACGTCAGTATGAGTCATTTCAATTTGACCCAACGCAGCCAGAGAAATGAGGACTTGTTTGGCGATTGCTCTGATTTCMGATAATCTCAGAGGTGACCATCCTCGTTGGGACATAAAATCCCAAAGGCTTTGATCCAGTAATTCAAATATAAAGCAATAATTGCCTTGATGGGTGAACCATTCGAAGCACTCCAAAACATTGATTTGATTAGCGTCAAACTTTCTGAGGTTTACATACGCTTCGATCTCCATTTTAGCTGAATAGYCCTTTTGTTTGGACACAATTTTTAAAGCAACAGCTTTGTCAGAGTCATTTTTCCTAGTTTTAGCTACCAAGCCATATGTCCCTTCTCCAAGTAGCTTTTCTACACGATAGACGTCTGATGAATTATAGAGAGTGTTTCCCACTTCCAGTTTAGGCTTCTGAATATCAAAGTTTGTCATGTCCCCATATAAATCTAAGGTGGGTAGGCAGTTAAACACAGAGGCCAGCAGAGAGCTTCTGGTTGCTGAGAAAATGTTCCTGGATCTGTTAAAATACCTCAACAGGCTGGAATTTTCCACAGACATCTTTCAAAAAATATAACTTGCCAAATAACACGAGAGCTTGCCTCAGCAGGGAACACGCTGAGGAATGAGAAATATGGAAATTCAGATGTCTCCAGATAAATCTGTGTTTGAGGTTTGACACTCAAACACAGAGGCCAAACAGAAAGCTTCTGTTTTGCAGRATCTGGCTGTAATTATCTTAAAAAAAACACTTTTTTAAAACTTTCCAAATAACACGAGAGCTTGCTTCAGCAGGGTTCGTGCTGCGGAATGAGAAATATGAATATGAACATGCAATTATAATCAGTCTGTTTAGTGACGTCATAGGCACAAAGTCTTTGATCTTTCCATGACATCATGAGGCAAATAGATAAATAAAATGAATATGTAATTATAATCAGCATATATTATAATATGGAACGCTGTTTAGTGACGTCATAGGCACGAAGTCTTTGAAGTTCCATGACATCATGAGGCAGAGATAAATGAATCGCGCATGCGCAAAGCTGCCGCTGACCGGCTGCAACTTCCTGGTCTGTGTTTATCACTGACAATGGCAATAAAACTGATTCTGATTCTGATTTTATTTTCTGGAGCAGTAAACCACAATATTGGATGTTTTATAAATTTTTATTAACAGTTTATGAACACCTTAGCTGGAAAAAAAAACTGCTGGAATGCTGGAGGCATTCACACAATACATGTGTTACACACGTCTTAAATGAAAATTATTTTTAAAAAGGCTTTTGCTTAAAAAATCCATTATTAATTTGAATCTTTATTTAAAAAATTAGTTTTAATTTAGTTTTAATTTTCGTGTTTGTAAAAAACAAAACAAAACAAAAAAAAAAACATAAGCGGAACTGTTATTCGGCGCTCCTGTTTCCGGTKGGACAGCAGCGGGGACTTAGCGGCTAGCGGATGTTTTAAATCCCCTCCGGCTGGGGTTTCATCGTTTGGTAGCATGAAAACCATGTTGGGCATCATATCCAAGGCACTTTGTAGGGTGACAGGGAAGACTGTGGTGAGTAGTTCGGKTTTAATGCGGAGGTTCCGAGCGGAACCGGTCCGTGCTAATGCTAACCGCTTCCTGACCTTGTTAGCCGCAGCTAACCTGCTTAAACTTCACCGCGTCTTTGCATGATGTTTTGGTGATGTAAAACAGAAAATCTGCTCAAATGTTTTCACTTCGRTAAGTGTCTGAATGTAGTTTGTGTATGAGTAAAGAATGAAGTTATCTGGGTATTTATGTAGCTTTCATTTAATTTATTTTGTGTAATTCTGGTGGTTTGCTCCTATGCTAACTCGCTMAAGATGCTCTGAATGGCATTGGATTGATTGAGCTGCATGGTGTTAAAATACAGCAAAAACATATTTTTAAAATTTGTTAAGAAGGCGGAAGTTGTCTTGTGAATTCACTTTACTGTGTAAAGTCTTGAGCCATTTCTCATTACTCCATATTTACGATGAAATCTGATCAAAACAATTTGTTTCATTTGAACAGGCCTTAAATTCAACTTTTTATTTAGTTACGTCTAATTTTCATCACAGTTTAAACCTTTCCAAGAAGTTTTCTTGTCATTTTTTAAAGTGTATTTGAAATATTTCATTAGGCTTWTTTAAAGACAGTTTTTAAAATCTTATTTTTGAGATTTGTCTTGATTTTCTCCTCTCAGATRTGTTTCTGAGTCTTTATTTAAAACAAACAGTAAATATATTTGAAAGATGTTATGTTAACTCGCAAGTCTCGCTGGATTCATTTCCTTTTAAAGACTAATTTTAGATGCTGTCCATCTGCTCTATATAGGCTTAAATTAACTGAGTTACTGTTTTAAGTGTGCACTGCACAAAGTGGTATCACAGATTTATTACTAAAAGCTTAAAACTGAAGGTTTTTCAAAAAATCTGGAGAACTGATGGAAAATTAGAAGGAAGTCCGGACCACTGGAAGGAAAAGAGAAAGTAAAAGGATCGAGACTTTAAGTTTTTATTAAAAATCCTGTCAGTGCATCTGTCAGGTCGGTTCCTACAGGTTCTGAAAATGAATCCATTCATTAATCAGATTAATAATTGAACTTCTGTTTAATCTTGAGAATTCCAAAATAAAACCACTTTCAGAATAAGAGCCTGCAGGAACCAGTGTTGCTCTCCTTCCTGCTTTGCCACCTTTTATCACAATCATAGTCCCACATTTATTTCTGGCTTTTTTCCCTCCTCTTCCTCATCGCCCCTCCTGCTCCTGACCTGACCTGACCTGACCTGACCTGACCTGTAGGAAACCCAGACCGTGTCTGAGGTAAGCAGCTGCTGATGTTTGTCTGTAGATCCCATCCTGACATTTCTTTCCCCTGCAGAGACCTTTTCCTCCAGGCTGGAATCACCAGAATTAGGTTTTAATTACCTACATGTTGGACCTTCAGTTTAAACTGTTGTTTTCTTTTATTGTAGTTTTTAGAAGCAAGATTTTACATCCAGATGTTTTAGCTTCATTTCAGCTTCAATTAAAATTCTTCTGGTAGGAACARGTCAGACACATATCACATCAAAACTAATGAAATAATTAAAAAATGTAAAAATGAAAGGTCAAGGTTGCTCAAAAAACTATCCACAACAGGTAAGATGTTTATAATAATTTAAAATTCACTCTATTGACAGACTGTTTAATTGATGTAAAATTGTGGAAATTACACTTTTTTTCTCTAATATGCTGCAGAGGTTTGATATTTTTAATTCATAAAGACTAAAATCAGGCTTTAATCATCTCAGTTGTGTTGTTGCAGCTCTAAACCTGACGTTTTATCATCACAGCAGATTGTTAACGTGGCAGATAAACCAGAGACAACTCAGAAATCATTTCATTAAATGTCTCAGAGACACAGTTCTGTTTGAATGAACTCTGATAGAGCAGTCATTTTAGTCTCTGCTCGTCGTGTTTTGTCTCTGTGTAGCTGCTGCCGTCTCACCTGTAGACTTCCCCTCACCTGTAGAGCCCCCCTGGCTGTGCTCCGCTCTGATTGGTTAGCTCCTGTGTTCCCCAGCTGCTGATCGACCTGTCAGAGTTCGTCAGTGTAACGTCGCCGGCGGCACCCGCCTCACCTCAGGCCCGGCACCAGCCTCCTGACCCACCACCAGTCAGTACTAGAGGCTCTGCTGAGCAGTTAGCTAGAACCTGGACCGACCAGCTGGACGGACCAGTAAGAACCCCCCCTCCCTTCCCCCCACAGCGTCTTCGCTGTCTGACGCTCACTAACAGKGCTGTGGAACCTAACCAGAACCTCTGCATGAGTCTGCTTCTGCTAAAATACTTCTCCTCTGGTTCTGTAACAAACAGCAGGGTATTGTCTGCATATTGATGTTTATGATGTTACTCACTGCTAGAACAGGAAGTGAAAACTGAACTGGTTCTGACATAGAACCCTGYGGAACACCATAATTAATTYTGGTGTGTGTAGGTGAGACATTGGGCCTCGTGTAAGAACATGTTTGTATTCTTATCCTAAATTTCACTTACTTTTGTTCGTACGAACATGCCACATCAGATTCAACAAACTTCAGTCTTCAGGAAAAGTGTGTAAATGAACTGAGTAAACTGATGAATTATCAGCTGCTCGTGCACGAGGAGAGGTGATTAATTACGACCCTAAAAACACCATATAAGGCTACGTTTCCTGCCCCACATACCAGGAAGTCTCAATTCATAAATGATATCGCAAAGTAAAAAGAAGAAATGTACG